GCTTTGAAAACTTCCTACACTGCGAAATCCCCAGCTTTCACCGCATCTTTCCCACACACCACTTTGACGATACTGCCACCAAATTGGACATGGCAGTCTCAACACTCCAACAGCTTGAGAATCTCGAGAGGAGGTTGAATATCGCCGTCAAATTGTGAGTTACCCAATCCTCTTGAATTCGTCGCCTCACTCACGTCTACAAAGTACCCTCTCTCACTCCCTCTCTCCCCCTCCATCTTTCCACCCATCCCTAGCACTCGCATACCTTCCCCATTGAAAACGTTGTGGCTGCTTACTACTTGAACTTCAGCCAGTACGAATCGTATGCAAATACCTCGAGCTATGCGGGGCACAATAATAACCCCCCACCCACCCCGCAACCAAGTACTCATTCATAGCGGCAACAGCCTTAACTGCACCCCAATTTGCACCGTTACAGCCTCCAGCCAGACGAGAATCCGGCAACGCCACCGCATGCAACAGTTGACCGTCGAGAAGCGGAGAACATTGTCGCAAAATACGACCCGTCCATGGTGGTTCGTGTCCGCGAGGTGTTTACTGAAATGGACAGAATCGCAGCTAAGGTGAGGCCTTCTAAGCTCCTTCGTTGCCATAAACAAGACCACGAGAAGGGCTAGAAGTAGTAGTAGTAGTAGTAGTGGTGGTGGTGGTGGTGGTGGTGGTGGTGGCGGCGGTGGTGGTGGTGGTGGCGGCGGTGGTGGTGGTGGTGGTGGCGGCGGTGGTGGTGGTGGTGGTGGTGGTGGTGGTAGTAGTAGTAGTAGTAGTAGTAGTAGTAGTAGTAGTAGTAGAAAGAGATGAGTGGCAATTGTGTGAATTCCAAGAGCATTTTAGTCAAATTTAGCAACATAACCAATGCTGCATCGTGAGGAGTATAGGGCGGTTCACAGCGCTTCAGCACACAGACCTACTTCCGGCTGAGTGGGTAACATTGGTTTCGACAGAATGAAGAAACCACTCACATTTGGCTTCGACTATTCCTTTCTTCATTCCTATTCGGATATCCCAATTGCCTGCATTACCAAAATTGTCTGGTTCGCTTTTAGCTTGGTTGTCGCTCCCCTCCGTAATGCTAGCCTGTCGTGGTGGCTTAGGCGTGCAGCAATCCATAACCAGAAATTCTCTTTCCCTCTAGCTAAAAAGTGTCATAGGGGATTTGAAAAAGTTGCAAGAAGAATGGCGCCTGTATGCCTCCGATGTTGACGCCTTCCGAACGTGGCTCCTGGATAGACTGTCGCTCAGTGCACTCGGTGGGCGGGGGAATGCCCTGGCGAGCGTCAGACAAGCAGGTGAACGTCTGCAAAGGCTGCGACATACTTACCGCAAGCTCACCCAGAATGCCCTTTCTGTTGATCCAATATTGGAGAAACTTGACGAACAATACCAGGACCTACTGTACCGCTTAAGCCGCCACGAGGGGCATC